GCCTCTCGTCGGGCATTCCTTGTTCACTTTTAGAAGCAATCGCTCCGCCAACTGCCTTGTTCGAAATTCTTTGCGGCCCGCGAGCCACCGCTCCTGGTTATCGAGTTTTGCGAGATATGGAATTCCATTGAGAAAGGCGCGTCTTCATATCGAACTCGCTCCACTGCGACGTCCAGGGGGCGCAGGCGCGGAATGCGGTGCTGGAGCGGGTTCGCCAGAGCGGCCCGGGCCTCGGCGGGGTCCGGGTCCGGCCCGCTCTCGATTCTTTATTGGCGTGGACATCCTTCTTTCAAACTACCTGCGCTTCGTGCGCGCCGTGTGCGTGCTCTTCCGCGCGGGCGCAGCAGTGTGCAACGCGCCCGAACTGGCGCGGGTGCGCGCAGCAATCGGACGGATGCGGGGCGCGCGGGGCGGTCGTGCCTGGGCTGCGTGGCCAGTCGGCGCGTTCGGAAAGCGACGGTTGTTTGTCCCGCGCAAGAAGATGCAGATAAGACACGGCATGGTCGCGCGCATCTTGCAATTAACTTTGCGCGGCGCGGAACTGAGAGAGACGCAGGTATTGCGCCTCATGTTATATTCCTGTTTCGCGCCATGTCGGAAGCAGTCCCATGCGCGTGGGGCGTGGCCGAGCCGGTGAGCGGAGTGCAGTCCTGCCTATATGCTGCCAGGGATGAACTGCGGCTGCGACTGGCCGACTGAAAGAACGCGCCGTCGTGCACGAAGCTTGTCCGCGGCTGCTCGCGCGCAAAGCAGCCAGAAACCTGCCCTGTGCATGTGCTTTGAAATTTTGCAGCGAATTGCGCGCGGGGTAATGAATTATTCCCCGGCCTGACGCCGGGCAGGGCGCTGCGGTCACGGCGGGGGGTGGCGCGCCTCTGGGGCAGGCGCCGCCCGTGCCGCCAGGGCCGCGATCTGGCGTCGGGTTCTTCGCGCCCCTGACGTCTCGGGCGTCGCTGCTACGCGCGTCAAGGCGGCGCTAGGGGCGCCGCGCCCCATGTTTTGGGAGTGGCATCCCCCTGGGCCGCGGAGCGGGCTTCGGTGTTCCCTGGCCTTCCCACGGCGCGTGGGGGCAGGCATTTGTGGCCATCTGTGTTTTTTTCAAACCAGACGGCCTCGTTCCTTCCAACGTGGCTTTCTCGCTGCAGCGTGGGTCCCATGGTAGGATCGCGGCTTTGCGCCCGTCGTTCAGAATGGCGCTCTCGCCCCAGCGTTTGCCACTGTTCTGGATCTGAGTCCTTCCTCATTGCTGTTCGCCCCCCTGAATTGCCCTCCTCCGACTTCCCATGGTCCTTCTGCTCTTCCCGCTACTTGCACTTCAGTTCCTGCTGCTGCTGTTCGTTATTGTTTTTTCCTCCTGCTCATCCTCCTGTTCATCCGCCATTTTCCGTCTAATGTGCGCAGTTACCTTGTTCCGAGCGCGCATGACACGATAGGGGTCTTTCTTTGGAGTTCCAAGCCTGCTTTGAAACGCGTCCGCACGTAGAAATGAATCAACGTAATGGGAAGGGAAGGGTGGGAATGGTAGGATGTCAGATACGGCGCGAGCGCACCCACTCTGCCCTGCCCCCCCTTTTTTCTTCTTTCATTTTCCACCCTTCCCCTGTGCCCCCCCCCCCTCCCCCCCTTTTCCCCTCTCCCCCCTTTCCCCTCCTGAGTCGGATGTCGCAGGCGTTCGGATGGTGCCTTGGGCCACCCCACCAACTCAATCCTTCTCCGTCCCTCCTCCTTGTCGTCTTCGTCGTCGGCTTCCTCGTCCTCCCAATGTTCTTCGCTGCAGATAACTCTTCCTTGTTGCACCACTAGGCGTGTCGCTAGCTAGGGCAGGCTTTGGGTTTCGCTGGATGAGGATGGGAGGCGGCGCCTTTCTTGATATGGGTCTCTCGCTTGAGAGTTCCTCAAACTCCATGGCCGGATACGTAAAGGTACGCAAAAGTTTAAGCAGATGGAAGGCGGCTCATTTTCAACATGGGGCTATCACAGGACATTTGTTCGGACGTAGTTCCCGAAAATTGTCACATCATCAAGGGATTGCACGGGTGGATTGCGATTCTTTGTCAAGGAGGGGCTCTCGTTAGATTTTCCTCGGAGTAGCACCGTGTTGTCGCGTCCACGATCGCGGGGAGAATGCATGGCCATTCCGGTAAAAAATGAGACCTCCACGTGAATGACGCGCCCATGCGGCGCATCATGGATGGAGGCGTTCCTCGCATTGGTGCGGAATTCTTGCAGGGACTGATGGGGAGGGGGTTTGGGATGGGAGCGTGCGTTGCAGCATCTTTGATGTATTTTCTGTTTACGCTGGTCCTTGTCCGTTTCCTCCCTCCTCTCGTCCCCATGAGTTTCTGAAGACTGCCCCCGCGCGCCCGCCATAGAGATGGCGCCGCTGATTGCGTATTTTTTGTTGTTGATGTACGACCGCCTTGCTCAGGGACTTTTCCGTTCGGACCGCGCGTGCTCCACGAGCCAGGCACGCCCACCTCGAGCAGTGGTCAGGATCCTATGGTCACGGCACTGCGACGGCGATCGGAAGCAATAACAAATACATGCTCTCACGAGGCAACAGGGAAGCCAAACATTCAGGCCATGAGCTCATACCCTTTCCAAGGGTACCCCTTCTACCCCTCTACCTCCTCCCCCTGCCCTGGAGGAAGAGGATTGCAGAGCAAATGAGGAGGATAAGGATTAGGAGGAGCAGGAGGGGGGTGGGGAAAGGCAAGGGGGAAATGGGAAACGTAGGGGATGTAGATGGAGAGTGGAGGGAGAGGTGGAAGGATAATGTTGATGCTGATGTTGATGTTGATGTTGATATTGATGTTGTTGTTGATGATGCTGGTCATGTTGATGGTCACGATCATCATGATACTGATGATGGTGATGATGACGATGGCGATGGTGATGGCGACGTTGATGATGATGAAGATGAGGATATGGGTGATGATGCAGATACTGATGATACTGATGATGATGATGACTGATGATGATAATGATGATGCTGGTGATGATACAGATGATGATGCTGATGATGATGATGATGATGATGGTGGTGACGATGATCAAACTGATTATGCCGATGATGATGGCGATTGCGATTACGATGGCGACGATAATGCTGATGATGATGAGGATGATGATGCTGATGATGAGGACTATGATGATGATGATGATATGATGATGATGATGATGATGATCATGATCATGATCATGATGATGACGGTGATGATGACGATGCTAATGATGTTCATGATGACGATTCACAAGTTTTTGATGATGAGGATGATGCTGATGATGAAGATGATACTGATGCTGATGTTGCTTTTGTGATGATGATGCTGATGGTCTTGAGGATGCGGATGATGCTGCTTTAGAAGAAGGAAAAGTGCAGAGGATGAGGATGCTGACGATGCTCATGCTGATGCTGAGTATGGCTGTGAGCAGTAGTAGTATGATTATGCTGATAATGATGCTGTTGATGATTATGATGATGATGTTGATGATGATGATGACGATGATGCTGCTGATGGTGATGATGATGACGATGATGATGATGCTCATGATGATGATAATGATGACGATGATGATGATGATGATGATGATGATGATGATGATGATGATGTTGATCATGATCATGATCATGATCATGATGATGACGGTGATGATGACGATGCTAATGATGTTCATGATGACGATTCACAAGTTTTTGATGATGAGGATGATGCTGATGATGAAGATGATATTGATGCTGATGTTGCTTTTGTGATGATGATGCTGATGGTCTTGAGGATGCGGATGATGCTGCTTTAGAAGAAGGAAAAGTGCAGAGGATGAGGATGCTGACGATGCTCATGCTGATGCTGAGTATGACTGTGAGCAGTAGTAGTATGATTATGCTGATAATGATGCTGTTGATGATTATGATGATGATGTTGATGATGATGATGACGATGATGCTGCTGATGGTGATGATGATGACGATGATGATGATGCTCATGATGATGATAATGATGACGATGATGATGATGATGATGATGATGATGATGATGGATGATGGTGATGGTGGTGATGGTGATGGTGATGGTGATGGTGATGGTGATGGTGATGGTGATGATGATGATGATGGTGATGGTGATGAGGCGGAGGAGGAGGAGGAGGAGGAAGAGGAGAAGGAGGAGGAAGAGAAGGAGGAGGAGGAGGAGGAGGAGGAGGAGGAGCGGGAGGAGGAGGCGGATGAGGATGAGGATGAGGAGGAGGAGGAAGAGACAGTGGCGGAGGAGGAGGAGGAGGGGGAGGAGGAGGAGGAGGAGGAGCAGGACGCGGGGAACGAGAAGGGGGAGGGGGCAAGGGGGATGGGGAGGGGATGGGGAGTGGAGGGAGGGATGAGGAGGAGGATGGGGATAAAGACGAGGCTGATGATGTGGAGGAATGGTGATGTTAGTGGTGGTGGTGGTGGTGGTGGTGGTGTTGGTGATGGTGATGGTGATGGTGATGATGATGATGATGATGACGATGATGATGATGATGACGATGACGTTGACGATGATGACTATGATGATGGCGATGATGATGACGATGATGACTATGAATGTGAAGATGATAATGATGATGATGATGATGATGATGATGATGATGATGATGATGATGATGATGATGATGATGATGATGATGACCACAACAACGAGGATTACGAATGAGAAGAAAATTGTGATGATGATGATGATAATGATGATGATTATTCTGATGGCGATGCTGATGATTATGATGATGATGCTGATGCTGATGCTGATGTTGATGCTGATGCTGATGATGATAATGATGATGATACTAATGATAATGATAATGATGGTCATGATGGTGATGATGGTTGCGGTTGTGACGATGATGACGACGATGATGAAGAGGAGGAGTAGTAGGAGGAGCTGGAGGAGGATGATTTGCAGCAGGAGGAAGAGGATGAGGTTGGGCATGGGCAGTCATTTGTGTCGGTTCCGCGGGCGTCTGTAAAGGTTGCCTGTACAATGCCATGGAGCTGCTTCGTCGGTACTGCCTTGGCCCCGGCGACGTGGGCTTCCAGGCTGCCGGCAACCCTGCCTGAACTGACGGAGGACATGCAACAGGTCTCGAGGAGCAGGAGGAGGAGGACGGGCAGGAGGTCGCAGGAGCAGGATGAGGAGGAGGCAGGAGAAGGAGGAGGAAGAGGACGAGGAGGGTGACGAGTAGAAAACGGATGATGATGATGATGATGATGATGATGGTGGTGGTGGTGGTGGTGATGATGATGATGATGATGATGATGAGTATGCGGATGAGGACGAGGATGATGATGAGCATGATAATGGTGATGATGATTATGATGATGCTGATGATGATGATGAGGATGCTGACGATGATGACAGAGGTTGTGGTGGGGAAGGAATGATGATGGTGACGACGATGCTGATGATGATGATCATGATGATGATGATGACGATGAAACTGATGATGATGGAGACGATGATGAGAATGATCATGATGATGATGATCACCATCATCATCATTACGATCACGTTGATGCGGACAATGACGATGACTTAGATGATCACGATTATGCTGATGCAGATGATGATGACAATGACGACTATAATGATGAAGACGATAATGAAGATGATGATGATGATGATGATGATGATGATGATGATGATGATGATGATGATGATGATGATGATGATGATGATGATGATGGTGGTGGTGGTGGTGGTGGTGGTGGTGGTGATGATGATGATGATGATGGTGATGATGATGATGATGATGATGATGGTGTTGATGAAGATTATGATGCTGATGACGATGATGGTGATGATGATGCTGGTGATGCTGATGACGATGATGATGGCGATGATGACCAGGCGATGGTGATGATGAAGACGACGATGAGGATAATGAGCGGGAAGATGACGATGCTGATGATGATGATGATGATGATGATGATGATGATGATGATGCTGATGATTCCGATGCCGATGCCGATGATGCTGATGCTGTGAATAATGCTTCTGGTAGCAATGATCACCCGACGACGCTGCGGCTGCTGGTTGTTCTTATGATGATGCAGATGGTGATTCTGATGATGATGCTGCTGATGGTGATGATGATGGTGAGCATAGTATTATCACTAACACTGATGAGGCTGATGCTGATGCTGCTGCTGCTGATGATGATGCTGATGACGAGCATGATGACGGTTATGATGCTGCTGCTGATGCTGACGATGGTGGTGGTGGTGGTAGTGCTGATGGCGATGACGATGACGATGACGATGACGATGCTGCTGCTGATGATGATGATCAGGATGATCATGACGACGATGCTGATGATGATGACGATGCTGATGATGGATGCTGATGATCATGACGATGTGATGGTGATGGTGATGATGATGATGATGATGCTGATGCTGATGATGATGCTGATGCTGATGCTGATGCTGATGCTGATGATGGTGATGACGAGGAGGAGGTGGAGGAAGAGGACAATCATGAGGAGGAGGATGTGATGGTCGACGAGAAGGAGGAAGGCGAGGAGTAGAAGGAGGAGGAGGATGAGGAGGAGGAGCAGGAGGAGCAGGAGGAGGAGGAGGAGGTGGAGGTGGAGAGAGGAGGAGTTTGATGAGAGAGGAGGAGAAGGAAGTGTAGAATGGGCTGTATCCTCACACTTCTCTTGGCGTCGTGTCTGCGACTCTCTTCCCTCCTGCGGGCTCGAAGTGTGCTCCCGCACACCTGGCAAGACGGCGACATTTCCTGATGCCCCCGTACGGCTGCGTTGCGTCGTTTTCGGTTCCGGCCGCCTGTCACTGTCGAACCTGGCCTGCCTTCGTGTCACCAGCCTGCTCTTGCTTCTGAAAGCCGAGGCCCTTCACAGCTTGGTAGCCACCAGCGCTGGCTGTCCCGCTGTTCCCCCGAGGCTGCCTGTGCAATCACCACCTGCTCGCTGCCACGCTGGCAGGGACCCCCTGGACGCAACCCTTGGATGCTTGCCTCTAACGCGTCCCCAGACGAGCCCCTTGACGCGTCCTCAGGCACGGTGCCTGACTCGTCCTCTGGCACGCCCCCATCTTCGAGCGGGCATGCACACACGAGATGCACCTGGGACGGTCTTGGGACGCACCATTTCCTGGAGCTGTGACGCTTCATCCCCGAATCGACACGCTCTGAATGCCAAAGGCGTGTCCGGGCCCTCTGCACGACCATGTCGTCCCAAGTTCAGTCGTCTGACAGCAGGCCGACTGCGCCAGCGGCTTGTTCGCAGGAAGGAGAGTAGGCGTCGAGTGCGGTTCGCAGTTCGGTGCTCCTCCTTTTCAGGTTGTCAGCGGCCCCGAGATGTTTCGACGAGGATTGGTGAATTATGAGGACCCGAACATGAATGTGGACATGCCGATGTTCATGATCCACGGCAATCATGACGACCCAGGCGGGCGCAGCGCCCGAAGGACGTGTGTCAGCAGGAATCGTGGTTCTGGGTCGAGGCAGACGGACTGACAGGCCCTGCAGGAATGAATGAGGGTCGACTGACAGGAATGTCTCGATTCGGGTAGAAACACATGCAGTGTATGGTCAGACAGCGAGCGCGAGCGGAACAACGCGGGGTAAGAGGCATACATGCATGTGAATTGCATGTCGTTTCGCTGCTTGCAGCCACGTGTCAGCAACACTTGTATCACTTGTTCGTTATTTCAAGAGTCTTCGGCCGAGGTGGCGATAGCAACCTCTCTGTTGCGAACCTTCTGGAGGTAGCCAGCTTGGTCAATTATTTTGGTCGTGCCGAGAACCTTGAGAACATAGTGGTGAAGCCAGTTCTCTTGCAGAAAGGGCAGACCAGGGTCGCCATTTTCGCAGGCTGACGCCGTTCACGCTCTCATTTGAGGATTTGGTTGAGTATGAAGTCGTGGTTTCGAGCGTCTTTATGTGCGAATGGGTGACCAAAGCAGCGCTGCAGAGCTGGCATCCAGAGTCGATTGAGTTGTTAGTATTTGGGGATTGGGCTTGTGATGCTTGTGTCACTGGCCCCTGTAATGTTCTGTCCAGCTGGAAGATGAGAATGAGGATAAGGAGGAGGAGGAGGCGTTTTCCCTTTTGTGCGCACTTAGATTTCAGCATGCAGCCCACTCGCCCATGGTAACCCTCTTGAGCAGGGGGTGACGGATATGGCCTCGGAAATATCCGTGATGAAAGACTGCACCGTGCTTTACAAAATCGCGCTGTCCGCTTTGAGACACCGGAGAATGTGGAGCAGTGGTTCAACATCATGATCATATTGGCTGCTTGCCATCCGCCGAAGATGTCAACCTGCGAATCTCGCTCCCGCTCGTTCCTCCTTGATCTCGTCCTCTGCTTGTGGCGCTGCACATGCCAAGGTGACACGTGCGGTCTCGCCTATTGCAGATTGGTCTTCGTGTGGCTCCTGGCTTGCTTCATGCGTTCGTTGGCACCATCGTCGCTGAGATACCCGATTGATGAAACCAAACTGTTCACCTGCGCACCTACTCTCAGGTCGGATTGTGGACCCGGCTGTATTACGATTGGGCATCGGTGTAGGTCGAAGAGGTCACCGCACGATAGGGCACTATCGCTGCGTCCTCAGGTGGTCGGCACAGCTTTGTGCGGACTGGCTTTCGAGGAGCTGTCACCTCGGTTGACAGGGGCAGGGTTTTCTATGCTGAGGCATATTTTCGGACCTGTTTTTCTCAGAGCTGACGCCAGCCCACATGATGTCCCAAAGTCTCTCACAGTACATGTTTGAAGCAGTACGCCAAAGCCTACTGACGTGGTTGGATGCTCGCAGAGTTCATGTGTCGCCGCGCCTTTTGTTCCGACGCGCGGCCTTCCGTCTTCGGGAGGGCGCCGCGGGCACTGGGCCAAACTCCGCCTCAGACGCAAGGTTCGCCGTGGGGTTTGCCGCGGTGCCGGCTTCGTCTACTTGGGCGCGTTGAGAGAAAACGGCGGGGCGACATGTTTGCAAGGTCTATTGCTCTGCTTCTGTGCTCTGCTTGTGTGCTGTGGTGTATGTGCTGCGGCTTCTCAGCATGACGCCCTCACGTGGGGCGCTCCAGAGATGGCCTCGCCGCCGAGGCATCGAGAAGAGGTGCCTCTTCTTCCTCTGCGGAAGGCGGTGGAAGGCTGGCGGAAGCTGGCTTACGCAAAAGGTTCGATCCGTAAGAGACGGGGGTCAATGCAAACGGGGATCAGCTAGAGCGCCGGATCGGGCCAGGGGTGTATTGATCTGAGCTTGCACGCAGGATCCTGCAGGATCATGCGAAGCCCGACTGACCCGCGTTAGCACTGACCCAGGCCAGTAGATCCCCGAAATGTGTGGCCCTGAGAGAGGACAACATGCTGGGTTCAGGGCAGAGTCGGCCATGTGGTATCCGATCGAGGGTGCCGGACGGATACTTCACCAGAATCGGCACAAGGGCAACAAGGGTGGCGTGCCGAATAAGGCGTGCATCCACGAGCAGATGCTCCCAGCCTTCTTGGACCTCGTGATCCAGAGTGCTGACGCATCGCGCCCTCCCCCTATTTAGTCGGCAGGAAGGGAACATGCAGGAGGAGGGCCAGAGTAAACCCAGGATGCATCGACGATGCTGCTGTACACCCTCCCGTCCAAAGTCCCTGCCTTATGAGTCCCTACAGGCCTCCCCCTCTTCACTGCAGGAAGTCTCTCGAGGGGGTATTGAGACGTGGCAGCGAGGAGCCCTCCCGGGAGGTCTGAGAAGGGCGACAGCAGCGCCCAGAAACCTCGATCCTCGAAGCTCGACCTCGATCATGCCCCTCGAAGTGCGATCCTTGATCCCCCTACTCGAGCCCAGGGTCAGCTTTTCGCCCTGGATCTATTTCTGATTGCACCGATGCAATCGGGCCGAGGCCCAAGGGTGTTTTCGTTGTCTCTGCTCGGGCGTCCGAGCTCCTCATCTCCCCCCCCCTCCCGCAAAGTCAGATGGGCTCCTGGGGTCCGTTAACGTTCCCCCGAGGCCAAAAAGCAAAAATCGTGCCGTCGGAGCTCTGGGTCGGGTGCTTCTCCGCGAAGCGCCCTAGGCATGGCCACTGGGGGCTGGCGGCTCTGGGGCCACGAGCACGACTGCGAGGTGACCCCGCGGGAGAACCTGCAGGGGGAGTTCTACGTCGTGCAGCCCGGGTCGCCTTCCGTCGCTGGGCCACCGCCCGCCGCCCGCCGCCCGCCTGTTGTCGCTGCGGTCAGCGTCAGCGTCGCCGTGGTCGCCGCCGTGGTTGTCGGAGTCGGAGTCGAAGCTAGGAGCAGGGGGGAGAATGATGAGGAGGATGAGGAGGGGGAGGAGGGGGAGGAGGAGGAGGAGGAGGACGAGGAGGAGGAGGAGGAGGACGAAAAGGATGAGGAGGAGGAGGAGGTAGGAGGAGGTAGGAGGAGGTAGGAGGAGGTAGGAGGAGGTAGGAGGCGGTAGGACGTAGGATGGAAATGTTGATGGTGATGGTGATGGTGATGGCGATGAGGTCAGTGTTGAGGACGATGGCAGCGATGATGATGGCGTTAATAATGACAACCAGTGTGTGATGTTGATGGTGGTGATGGTGGTGATGCTGATCATGGTGATGGTGATGGTGATGGTGCTAGTGATGGTGATGGTGATGGTGATGGTGCTGATGATGGTGGTGGTTGTGGTAATGATGTTGATTTTGGTGATGATACTGGATGTGAAGATGGTGATGATGACGATGAACGCTCAGATGATGCTGATGATGTTGATCAGGAAAGCGCGCCAGTGAATGTCCCTGAATGCACAAAAGTGGGGGTGTGCTCGCACCCCTCCCCCATTCCCCCCTTCAAAGGGGGGGTGAGATTTTCGACCCCCCCCACTTCCCCCCTTAGGGGGGGGGGGGTCCGACCCCCCCCCTTTTGAAGGAGGGGGGCCCTCTCCCCCCCTTGGCGCTGGAAAGGGGGGGGGGGTCGACCCCCCCCCCCCCTTCCCCCTTTTGCGCCGATCAGGGGGCTGGGGACGGGGCCTCTCGGGTAGTGAGTAGAGAGTAGAGTATCTTGAGTAGCGATTGGTGAGTAGTGGGTATTTGATAGTGAGTAGTGCGCAGTGAATCGTGAGTAGTGAGTAGTGAGTAGTGAGTAGTGAGTAGTTGGTAATGGGTAGTGGTAGTAGTGAGTAGTGCGTAGAGATTTGTGAGTAGTGAGTAGTGGGTAGTGAGTAGCGAGAAGGAAGTAGTGAGGACCATGCTTTGGACGAGGGACCATGCTTTGGACGAGCTTGCGACGGCCACGGTCAGCGAGGAGGAGAAGACCAGGCTGGACGAGTCCTCCCTCGACCGCGCGCTCCGCACCCGCAAGCGCGGAGCTCGGCTGCTTCATCGGCTCGCTCCGGGCCGCACGGTGGGCATCGGGGCCGTCGCCGACGACAGGGGCAACGTGCTGACTAACGCTGACGACATGGCGGGGGAGCTCCGGAGCCACTGGCAGCGAGTCTTCCAGCGCAAGGGGCACGACTCCCAGCGGCTGCAGGAATGGCTGGAGGAGGACCAGCGGGCCAGATCGCCAGGGTGCGGTTTTCTCGCGCTGCCTGACGACCTCCGCCTGACGCGACGACACATACGCCGAGCCCTCCGGATCACGGGCAACACTTCGCCTGGGCCGGATGGGATTCCTTTTTCAATATGGCGATCCTTCGGCGACACCGCAGTCGACCTCTTGTACGGGGCGTTCCAAGGGCTCACGGCGGTGGACGCCGCGAGCGAGATGGAGGCCTTGGGGATGAAGTTCAACGAGAGCTTGCTCTTCCTGCTCCCCAAGAAGGCGGCGCGGCACACGGAGGAGGGCGTTGCAGTCTTCCGCCCAGCTGGCACGCGGCCTTTGAACGTCGCTAACACCGACAACAGGATCACCGCGAGCGCGGTGCGCCTTATGCTGGAACCAGCACTGGCGCCGAGAATTTCGCGGGACCAGCGCGGGTTTCTGAAGGGGCGGTCGATGTTGGCGAACGTGGTGGATTTCGAGGAAGCCATGTGCGAGGGCGCCCTCTCGCCGCAGGAGCCCCTCGCATGCTTCATGGACTTCGAAGCCGCGTTCCCCTCGGTGGAGCACGGGTTCATGATGCAGCTCTTCGAGCATGCGGGGTGGCCAGACTGGCTGCTCCGTTACCTCCGCGCGCTCTACACCGACAACGTCTGCAGGATCGCACTCGGAGGGGCGCGGTACGCGGGCTTCACGGCGACGCGAGGGGTACGACAGGGCTGCCCTCTGTCCCCCCTCTTGCTGGCGGCGTGTTCGGACCTCCTGCTGATACGCATCGGCCGCCACTGTCATGCCCTTGTCCGGGCTTATGCGGACGATACAGCCATCTTCCTCTACGACGGTCTGCAGTCGGTCGCGATTCTGGCGAGCATCTTCGACGAGTTTGCGCGCTGCTCAGGCTTGAAATTGAACATCGAGAAGACGGTGGCGGTGCCCTTGGGCGCGCAGGACCTGGTGCAGCTTCGCGTGGCCATCGCGGCGCGGGCGCCAGCCTGGGGGCAGCTTGGCTTGGCGCGGCAGGCTCGGTACCTCGGCTTCACGGTGGGCCCTGGGCGCGCGGCTCTCTCGTGGGAGGCGCCCCTGAGGAAATTCTCGGAGCGCGTGGAGCTCTGGCGCTCTCTCGGGGCGGGGCTCAGGGTCACCATGGACGCATGCCGCTGCTACGCCTTGAGCGTGCTCCTTTTCGTCGCGCAGCTGGAATGGGTGCCCGCGGAGGCGCGCACCCAGGAAGAGAGAGCCCTCCAGCGACTGGTGCCTGGGCCCGCGGACTGGATGCCGTCGAATGTCCTCCAGGCCCTCACGGAATACGGCCTGACGGCCGAGTTCGCCTCGCTCGCCGCCAGCGCCTCGGCGGCGGCTGCCCGGGTGTTCGTGTTCGAGAACCGCCAGGGCGGTGGCCTTCGCGCTCGGGCGCGGGCCCGGCGGCCCCTGGAGAAATTGCACGATGCAAACGACGTCAGCTTGGCCACGGTGGCGTGGATCCGAAGCTCTTCCCTATGCCGGCTCACAGCGGCGGCGGACGAGGTCGCGGCGGCCGAGCGGGCGGCGGGGCGCCCCCCAGTCCTGCTCGGCGTCGACCCCGACGACCTCCAGACGAAGAGGACTTGGCAGCGGCAGGCGACGCAGCTCCTGCGGCCTGCTCCTGGCGCCGCAATGGCGCATGCTCGCAGGAGGCTGGACCGGTGGCCGCTGCGATCCCAGCCCCGGGACCGCCCCGCGCAGCTGGTGAACGTGGGGCGGCTGCTCAGCGCCCGCGGCACGCCTCGCGTTGCCGCGGCCTTCCTCCGCACTGCCATGAACGGGTGGTGCACGGCGCGGCGCTTCCAAGGGGGCGCGCCTTGTGCCCTCCACTGCGGCGGCGGAGCTGATTGTATAGAGCATTGCGCCCAGTGCAAAGTCTACCGCGCGTTCTGTCGAAAGCACGCGGGGTTGGAGACCCCTTGGCAGGGGCAGCAAGCTAGGGTGCTTTCTCAATTTGCTGCCTTCGCAGGGCGTGGCGGGGGTCGAGAGAAGCGCGGAGCAGTGCGCCCTCCTTCGCGCCCTCGCAGTGTACGCGGCGTACAGGGCGCAAGCCGCGGTGCGGACTGGATCGCTCCTGCGGCGCAACGCCCCTGACGCGCTAGTTTCGTTTTTGAAAGTGGGCGCGAGGGGCCGCGCGCAGCTGGGCGGCCTTCTGCGGCTTGCCCGGCGCCGCCCTCACGGGGGCGCAACTGAGCGTTTCTGCCGTTTTTCCTCTCCCCCTTCCTCCCTCGTCCTTCTTTCCTCCCCCCCTCGCCTCCTTCCTCCCTCTAGGCGTGCGCGCGTGACGTCGTGTGTCCCTCCGGGACGCGCCGACTCCGTGACATTATCACTCTGTCTGTACAAGCCGGCCGTCGATGGTTCAGCATTGGCCCTCGGTTGTCGCCGCCGCCGCCGCCGCCGCTCGCGCCGGCCGGAGTGGGGACAGTCGAATGTGTAAAAGCATCCCTCCTTAGCCCCTGCAGGAGCCACCGGGCATTTTAACGCAAGTGCCTGCCTGGGGGAGGCGAGGTAGAAGCAACAAATCTTAAAGCTGCATTGCTGCCGCTGTGTTGCATGGTAGTCGCACGGGGTGCGATTTATTTATTTTGCAGCTGAAAAACCTGAACTCCTGATCTTTGCGGGCTGTCTTGGGCCGCCTTCGCCGCCCATGCGGGGCCTCCCCGCTCGCTGCCTCCGAAACAAAGTGTCTGAACAAATCTTCAGCCACTTTGTCGGCGCCCCCCTCCTCAGCTGCGCTCTCCTCCCTCCTTCTCTTTCGGCAGCGTCCGCATCTCTCAGGCTCACATTAGGAGATGCGCTGTGCGGAGGCTTCCTCCTCGTTTGAACTCCCGGCCATTTCGTCCACGCCGGCTGGATGGCGCTTGGCACGTGCTGGGGCCTGAGTGTTCGACTTTGCAGATCTGCCTCCCCGCTCCCTCCCCTCTCCAGGTTGCCGTTTGTATCGATGCTTGCTCATTCTACTAGTTGTTCTCTGGCTTTCGCCATGCCCGCCAAGAGTGCGGTGCCAGACGTATGCGAGGTCGCGTCGCTCAGCCTCGCGAGTTTCCGATATTTCCTCCTCCTTCCCCTTCTTTCTCTTCCTCCTCCTCCTTCCCCTCGCCTTCCCCTCCGTTGCGGCTGCTTTAGTCGAGCTGGACTGGGGTATGTCTGGCGCGCAGCCTAATACTGGCCGGCTTGTCTGCTCCTCCCCCGAGCCCGGGGCCATTGCAGGATTTTTGCTTTCAGTGCCTTGCAGTCGTCACTGGTCGGTGGAGTTGCGCTGGGAATAGCCCCCTCGAGGGGGAGCGGATCGGGCGGTCTTCACGCAGGAAAAAAAAGAGGAAGTAGTGAGTAAGGCAATGTGAGTAGTGAGGAGTGAGTAGTGTGTAGTGAGTAGTGTATAGTGAGTAGTAAGCAGGGAGTAGGCATGAGGGAGTACACAGTAGCGAGTAGCGTGGATTGAGCAGTGAGTAGTGAGTAGTGAGTAGTGCGCAGTGAGTAGATCGAGAGTAGTGAGTAGCGAAAGGTGAGTAGCGAGAAGCGAGAAGCGAGTAGGGAGTAGCGAGCAAGGAGTAGCGAGTAGTGAGTAGTGAGTAGCGAGTAGGGCGTTGTGAGTAGTGAGTAGTGAGGAGGGAGTAGTCAGGAGT